GATAACCATGTCTAACATATGCTGAGTTCTTACTATGTTCCAAGAACTATGCTAAGCTCTCTATATCACAAGATAGACTTATTTTTGCCTGCTAAGCATTCATTCCCCCCTTCCAATTACAACATCCCCTTTTTCCTTCCTCACTCATGTGGTCATGGTGAGCTGATCCATCACAGTTGCACCATCTCCAAATTGATCCTAAACTGGACATTTAGAAAACTCTATTCCCTTGGGCACAGCAGTCAGTTCAGAGTGGCTCCCAGTCCCAGCAAGGCCAATCAAATTTCGTAAATAAAGGTTTGGAGTTCAAAACCTCCCTTCCTTTAAATATTTAAAGCTGTGGCTATCTGTAGCCATCAAAATATTTCCCCGCCACTAGTAGGAAATCTGTCTGGAAATGGAACCAAAACACTGAAGGATGCTGAAAGGTGGAGAGAGAAACATCAGTAAGGCCCCTGGAACACGCAGGGCCCTTGAACTTGCTGTTACATGAGATAATGAATTTCCCTTCACTTCAGCTGGTTAGAGTAGGGTTCCACTACCAGCAATTAAGAATCGTCTGGCTTGGGCTTCCCTGGTGGTGCAGTGGTTTAGAGTCCGCCTGCCGATGCAGGGGACACGGGTGCATGCCCCGGTGCGGGAAGATCCCACATGCCGTGGAGCGGCTAGGCCCGTGAGCCATGGCCGCTGAGCCTACGCGTCCGGAGCCTGTGCTCCGCAACGGGAGAGGCCACAGCAGTGAGAGGACCGCGTACAGGAAAAAAAAAAAAAGAATCGTCTGGCTAGTGCACACACCTACAGCTAGCCCATGCAGTCACATGGGTCTACACCAACAGCCAGGGTCCCCTCAGCTGCTCACATGTCTGCAGTTAGCCCCAGCCCCTGCTGCTGGCCCTGTCCCTCACCACTGCATGTGTGTCTGTGGCAGGCCCCGCCCCCACACAGGCACCTGCAGCTGGTCCCTACAGCCAAGCATGAATACACTGCCAGATCTGGTCACGACTGCTACCTCCACTGGTAGCAGCTGGACCTGGAGGCTCCACTGAAGACCTCAACAGCCCTTGCAGCTACTGCAGACCCCGCACAGCTCTCACCAAGGATCATGCAATTGTTGGTGTGGTGGATGGACCCCAGCAGCCTGAGCCAACAAGACACACACCCTTGGACCCAGAGGCTCTACTCACCCTCATACTTAGCACCCCACGCCACTAGACCCAGGACCATAGCACACTCCAGATTGCCTTCACTCACAGGTGAAGGTTTTTCCTTTCTGAAGTCAGTCCAGAAAGTCTGGAAGAGGTGACTGCTTCTTCAAAGGTGGAGACATCTATACAAGGCTATAGGAAACAGGAGGAATCAGGGCAACAAGACACCACCAAAGAAAATGGTAAACTTCCAGCACCCACAAGGATGTCTGAACCCCAGCAATGAATACAGCTTAGACTAAAGGTGGTATATCTTCCTTTTTTTTTTTTTTTTTTCCAAATCTAGTAAGATGATCAACAGAGGCTGCAGAGTTCCAAGTATTGCTGCCATGCATGCAGGACCATGATTCCATGTTCTGGACCTAAGAAAAATAAGAACTCTTTCAAGATATTAGGGTCTGTGGGGGGCTATCTCCCTAAATTGAAAGACAAAAGTGGATTAGAGAGATATGAACAAGATGGTGGCATAGGAATTTCTAGCACACATCCTCTCCCAAAACATCAGTTGCAACAACTATCCACATGCAAAAATACCTTCACTAGAGGTAAGAATTTCAGGTAAGGGATTACAGTACCTAATCCAATTTTAAAATGAGCGGAGGACCTGAATAGAGATTTTTTTAAAGACATTCAAATGACTAACAGGTACATGAAAAGATGCTCAACACCACTAATCATCAGAGAAATGCAAATCAAAACCATAATGAAATATCACCTTATACCTGTTAGAATGGCTATTATCAAAAAGACAGGAGATAAGAAGTGTTGGTGAGAATGTGGAGGAAAGGGAACACTTGTGCGCTCTTGGTGGGAATGTAAATTGATATAGCCACTATGGAAAAGAGTACGAAAGTTCCTAAAAGAACTAAAAATAGAACTACCATATGATCCAGCAACCCCACTTCTGGGTATGTATCCAAAGGAAATGAAACCACTATCTCAAAGAGATGTCTGAATCCCTGTGTTCATTGTAGCATTATTCACAATGGCCAAGACATGGACACAACCTATATGTCTGTTGATGCATGAATCAATAAAGAAAATGTGGCATATATATATATATATATATATATATAACTCAGCCATAAAAAGGAAGAAAATCCTTCCATTTTGTGACAAAATGGATGGATCTTGAGGGTATTATGGTAAGTGAAATGACAGATAGAAAGACAAATACTATATGATCTCACTTACATGTGGAAATGAAAAATTCAGAATCCACAGAAATAGAGAGTAGAATAGTTGTCAGAGGCTGGGAGTCAGGGAAATGGGAGTTGTTGGTCAAAGAGTACAAACTTCCAATAATAAGATGGAAGGCTAAGGTACAGCATGGTGACTATAGTTAACAATACTGTATTATATATTTGAAAGTTGCTCTTAAATGTTCTCACCACAAAAAGAAAATGGTAATTACGTGAGGTGATGGAAGTGTTAACTAACCTTATTGTGGTAATCATTTTGCAATACATACGTGTATCAAATCATCACACTGTACACCTTAAACTTACATGTTATATGTCAATTACATCTCAATAAATTTGGGAAAAGGAGAATTTAACATTTAAAAAGAAAGACAGGGGCTTCCCTGGTGGTGCAGTGGTTAAGAATCCACCTGCCAATGCAGGGAACACGGGTTCGAGCCCTGGTCTGGAACGATCCCACATGCCGCGGAGCAGCTAAGCCTGTGCACCATAACTACTGAGCCTGCGCTCTAGAGCCTGTGAGCCACTACTACTGAGCCCACGCACCACAACTACTGAAGCCCGCGCGCCTAGAGCCCATGCTCCGCCACAAGAGAAGCCAAAGCAATGAGAAGCCCGAGCACTGCAACGAAGAGTAGCCCCCGCTCGCCACAACTAAAGAAAGCCCACAAGCAGCAACAAAGACCCAACACAGCCAAAAATAAATTAATTGTTTTTTAAAAAGACATGGGGTAAGGGATTAAGAGGCACAAACTATTATTATAAAATAAGCTACAAGGATATATTGTACAACACGGGGAATATAGCCAATATTTTATATTAACTATAAATGGAGTATAAGCTTTAAAAATTGTGAATCACTATATTGTACACCTGTAACTTATATAATATTGTACATCAACTATACCTCAATAAAAAATAAATAAAAATTTTAAAATTACATTTCTTTCTTTAAAAAAAAGACAAAAACAGTCAAAGGAAAATAAAATATATTATCCTTATGCTCTCATCAGATCCTCTTAAAGTCCAGAATTAAATGAACAAAAGAAAGTAGATTTCTTATATCTCCTTCTGCATTCCTCTGAATGAATTTAGCCCTTAATAGTGGCTACGAAATTAGTTATGATTTCAAGTCAGTTCCATTAAAAAAGGAAAAGAAAAAACAGGACAACATGAAAAATACCCTCCTTATGATTTCAAGTTGTCTTCTTTATACTCTAAATATTTTAGTCCAAAAACATGCTTCCTTTAGACTCCAATTATTATGCCTTATCTGACACATAAGAAAAATCAAAATCAATCTTTGATCTTAAAAATTAGGGGGGAAAACCCTTCCAAGGTCTTTTCATAACAGTTACATGTCTACACTGTGTTGAATAGCATCACGTAAGAAATGAAACAAGAACATCTACTTTGAACGAGGCACTAAACACCAGCAAGCATGCTTTAACACATCACACAATGTGGCTGACTTACATTTCCTTAATTTAAAAGTTCTATCGTCGTAAGTAGCAGCAATCATCTCATAGTCAAATCAAACACATTAAAATGAGGAAGATGCAAAACAGTGTTCCCCAAAGTAGGAAGAGTTTATGAGATGAAAGTGAGGGGTAGCGCCCAGAAAGGGTATCAAAAGCTCCCTAATTATACTGGAAGGAGGCTAAGGTTCAGAGCAAAAGTCTCCTTGTCATTCTTCAGAGAGTTCAGATCCTCTGTTGATGTAGGGAAGGTAGAAGGTGTTTAAAAACAGGATAAACAATAAATAATTCACGCTGCTGAGGTATTGTTTTTGTTTACAGAAATGGCAACTTAAAGTCAGACAGAAAACTAAACTTGCATGGATTTTAAGTCATTTGCCTTCTTCCGCAAATACGCTCAAGTCCTCTTTTCCTACATTTCCCCTTTTAGTCTTCTTTTTTCTCTTTCCCAGCTAACTATGAAAACATACTTCCTTATTGCTTTCCATCTTTTCGCCAATCTTTTTGTAAGTTTTTATTTTAAAATCAATCTGAATGATCTAACTCTAGGCACAAACTGCATTCGTCTAACCCTTGTTAAATGGTAAGTAATATAAAGACAGGTGGGAAAATATAGACAGGTTGATTATTTGCTAAGTGTCCATGGTAAAGATTAAGGGGAAATTCCCAGACAATAAAATGATGAGATAAACTACCAAACCTACTTTAAGGGAATGCCCTAATGCTAGAGATTTAAAGTTAGTCCCTCTAAGAAATTCTGGAAGATTTTGACTAGAAGCGAAAGTGAACATTTTCTGAATGGTGGAAATATTACTTATTACTATTTACATTTTTCTTAGCATCTTCTCCAGTCTTCAGATGGGAGGGAGGGGGAGGTGAGCTAGTAGGGCACTGAGGCGAAAAGCCGCAGCGGGTGACAGTACAGGCCAAACACCAGGAGGTCAACCTTTATCAGTCTCCAGTGTCCTGTTAGCTTTCATGACCTGGGAAACCCGCAGCCAGTCACCCGAGGCGGGTCCCGCCTTCCCCGGCACTTCCCCTCCTCAAGGTGGCGGCGGGAGCGACAATCCGAGCGCGACGCGCGAGGCACTCTGGGAGCGGAAGAAGGAGCCGCGCGGCGGCGGCCCAACCGGAAGAGGAGGAGCCGGGCCTTGAGGATCCCCGAGAATCGTTGTTGCTCTGCCCGTTGGTGTTTGCGGGTCGCGGGGAGCAGGGCCTGGCGGGCGGGGTGTGTCGCGATGCCGGAGCTGGCGGTGCAGAAGGTGGTGGTCCACCCCCTGGTGCTGCTCAGTGTGGTGGATCATTTCAATCGGTGAGCGGGCGGCACGGGGCGTCCTACCGGGGCCGGTGGCGCCGCCGCTGCTGAGTCACGGCGCGCTGGGGATGGCGCGGCGGCCGCGGGGGCGCAGATGCACCGGGGGCGGCCCTGTGTCACCGAGGGGCCCAGACCAACTCCGTTCACGAAGCCCCAAGTCACCCGGCATCGTCTCCCTCGCCGTCCAGCCGGCACTCCATGAACTGGGCTTCTCGTTCCTTTTACCCAGTCCGTACGATGCCAGAGTATGGGGGACAGGCTTCACTTGGCCCTGATCCCCAGGCCTCGTGCCCATCTGTCACCTCGTACGCCCCTTTTCGCCTGAAAGACTCGGTGTCTGGTAGGAAAGCCCTTCAGACTCGCACTTCTTGCCTCTGAAGGCCGTCACCGAAATTCCGTTCTCAGCGCTCCGAAGGACTCCCTGGAAGAACTGTGGTTTTAATTTAACTTGTGAAAGTTTCCAAGTGGGACTGTGGTTTGATGATAGCTTAAAACGTAGATGTTTTAAGTTTTAAAGTCGTTTTTCTTTTAAAAATGAGACCGGTTGGAGATGTTGGCATTAATGAATAAGAAAACATCCCACAGATGTTTCTTCCGCCTTCGCTTGCTTGTTTTTGAGCTGTTCGTCCAGCTGGACCTGTTACACGTGTTCATAAATTTTACAAGATAATTGACTTGGAAAGTTGTAAGACCCAGTTGGGAGCATCTGCTGTAAAGTCATAGTTGCTAAGTGCCCATCCTCTTGCAACTTGCTTTGTACAACTCCCAGTTCAACCAGAGCCAAAACCAAACTCAAGACTCCTGTGAGGTTTAGGGTCCCCAGTTCAGTTCCATTGCTTTGTAGCACCCTTAGCCTAACAGGATATGCAAGCTTTCCCACTGTACAATGATTAGTATTTTTCTCCCGTAGGATACTAGAGGTACTAAGAGGGCAAGCATCTTTTCAGTTCTGTTCAGTAAATTCAGCAAACACTTGTTAAGGGCATAGTGAAGGCAGACACTGCAAGCTGCTGTGTCAGACAATTGCAGGGTTTTTTAAAACGCAAATGGATTTTTGTAGATCAAAAGAAAAGCCCATGAGTGTGGAAGTTTCCTTTGAACTTAGAGTTCCCAAAAAATTAGAACCACCAGAATACAGAATCCTTAACTTTGTTTGGTCCAAACCCTAAATATAGTCAGCATTTATAAATTTGCCAAACCATATTTTTAGATAAATACAGTTAAATCAGTATGAAACCAGCAGCCGTTAAGGAATTTCACGTTGACTTTTGTCTTTGCTTTGAACATAGAATTGTATTGTTTCTGTATGTTACGATTAACATGCTATGTTACGATTTAGTGGTTAAAGGAGAATTCTACATGATGACCAATGAAATGAGATATAAGTGAAACACTTGCAGTTCCTTAGGACAAAAGTCATTAAGGAGGTTTGATATGGAAATAAATATTCTGAAGTAGTCTTTCTGGTTCATTGAGCCCTCCTCCCAGTATGATTAGTCACCAGCTCACTTCCAGCTTCTGCATAATTAAGCCATTCAGAGACCACAAATGGCACACACATGCTTCTGGGTCAGAATCATTTTCTGAGCCCCTAAATGGTACAAAGAATTATAACGTCTATTGGGGCTTGTTGACATAGATGTTCCAGAGAAGAGTTGGCAAGCTGGACCATAAAACTGGTTCAACTTTAGCATCTTTATCCCTGAAAAGATTTGAGGACAGAGAAGATGGGGAAAATTTAAAAGAGAAAGGTAAGCTGCAGAGGAAAAAATAAAATTAAATGTGATTTCAAACACCAATCAAATAACAGTTAAGACCTTAAGATCTGGGGAGTTTTCATTTTCTCAATTTTAAATTTCTATAAAGTTTGAGATTTTTTTCCAAGCATGTCTTTCTTTGCAGTCAGCAGTGAAACTGCCAGTGTCCAAAGTTCACGAATTACCCATTATATTTATTAGAATTATTAAGGACTAACCCATTATATTTGTTTAGTGGGATTAGTTCCCAGATAGGCTAAATTGTATCTGTACCATTGATGCTTCCTGTTGGATATCTTAATGTTGGCCCACTTCTGTCTGTGCCCATCCAGACTGACCTTCTGTTTTCTCATTCAGAATAGGCAAGGTTGGAAACCAGAAGCGTGTTGTTGGTGTGCTTTTGGGGTCGTGGCAAAAGAAAGTTCTCGATGTATCCAACAGTTTTGCAGGTAAAAGAAAAATTTGTCAATTATACCTCAGTTTTTTAAAAAATAAATAGGCAAATTTTACATTTTCTGAGTATGGTTAAAATGTCAGTTAACTTTTAAAAAGAAAAATTTTCGTGGTCTCCATTTTTTATTATAACCAAGCAATTCTATTTCAGAATTGTTTAAGTATAGAAAAGGGAGGCTAAAGGCTACACACTGAGCTGCATAGTAAATATTTAAAACTTGCAGGCCATACGGTCTCCATTGCAACTGCTCAGCTCTGCTCATGTAGCAGGAAAGCAATTATAGACAGTATGTAAACAAACTAATAGCTATATTGCAGTAAAACTCTTAAAATAGGCAGTGGGTGTAGTTTGTCAACCCCTGTACTAAACTATTAACCATGGTTATGGGTAGGCAAGGGGGAGATAAAGACCTTATCTTTTACACTGTTTCATAAATCTTTATAAGAATGTATCCATATATTTTATGATTGAAGCAACAATAATAAGGAACAACAAAATAATTCCTGGCATGGCTGCTAGACTAGCAGTCACTAACTCCAGTGTCTAAAAGGATCAGGCAGTAATGTAATTTGCCAGACGGGAATATTTGGAAGTGATGGAGCTTTTAGCAAACTGAAGAATGTGTCCTTTTCAAAGTGGGTGGCTTCTGTCTGGCTCTAGCCAGTTGTTGCTAGTCTTCCAGTTTATCCAGAGAACCTGGAGGTCTGGATTTGTATGTGAAATCTTCCAGTCTTTACTAAAAGCAACTCAAAACTAATTTTAGTACTGTGTTGGACAAACCAAAGACATGGATCAGATCTGGCCTAGGGGTCTACAGTTGTGATATGTACCCTTAGAGTTCTGTCTAGCACCCTAAACTGTTTTTTGGTTTTTTTCTTTCTAGTCCCTTTTGATGAAGACGACAAAGATGATTCTGTCTGGTTTTTAGACCACGATTATTTGGAAAACATGTATGGAATGTTTAAGAAGGTCAATGGTAGGTGGCATTGTGGCACGTGTGTTTGTGTGTGTGTGTGTGTGTGTGTGTATGTGTAGGTATATGTGTGCCCATAATGCCTTTTCTAAATATTCACTTTTCTTTGTTTAATGTCAAAGGCCCTTTCACTTAGCTAGACTGAAGTAAGACTAGTGGTAGTAGAGGAATGAGGTAGAATAAATGAGAAACTAGAGTAGCAATTTAAGGCCAGCTAGACCACCTAGGCTTCAGGGGAGAGAGCTAGCCCTCTACAGCAGAAAAGCAAAGAATGGTGAAATAAAATCCACCTGCCCCTAGAGCTTTAGTACCACCAGGGTAAATATCTCTGTTACATGTGTCGCTTTCATTTCATTTCATTTCATTTCAGCAACCACATTGCTTTGGAAATGCTTATTCCCACAACACTCACAGTTGTAATCTATGTGACATGAACTTGAATTTGTTTATATATTGCCTCGGAATTGTTTTCTAGTTGTTTCATGTATGACTGGTCTCCTAAACTAGTCTGAGATATGTATATCTCTAGATTTCCCCTGCTGTTTATTTTCTGAGAATCCTGTTTTTGAGTTTTAGATTTCATAGCTAAGTCAAGGTTTAGATGTCTGGAATTTCTGTAAAAGCTAGAGAACATAACTACTGGAGTTCTTACCCTTTTTGAGGGAAATATATAGATCTTTAACAATTCAAAGCCACTAATTTTTCCTTCCCAGCCAGAGAAAGAATAGTTGGGTGGTACCACACAGGCCCTAAACTACACAAGAATGACATCGCCATCAATGAACTCATGAAAAGATACTGCCCTAACTCAGTAAGTGTACTCCGTCTTTAAAACTCTTGACTCATATTTGTTGCCAGCGAACTCAAGAAAAAGAAAGCATCCTAGGAAGGATTTGGAAAATGAATCATTTCACCACTTTTTCTCTATAAGCTTGTGTTGATTTGCAGTGTTTTGTGTAGTATACGGTAACCCAGTGTATTTAGTAAATTAAACATCTGTTCAGTGCTAGGTATGTAAGTTACCTTCCTTAATCCTCTCAGTAACTGTATGAGATTGTTATCCTCTTTACAGTGAGAAAACTGAGGTTCAGAATGGTTAGTAAGGTCTTCTAAGTATGGGGCTGGGATTAAAATGCCAGCTGTCTTGACTCTAATCTTCTGCTTGATAACTTCACTATACTATCTCTCAGCTTGTTAATGGATGGGGTTGAAGAGCAGAGCAAATAAGATAATTTGAAATGTAAAGTTATTTTTTTTTTTTCTGAAAATTCTGGCTTATATCTGGTTGAATGAATGAAGAAGCTTCGGTAATCATCAGAATGGCTGCAGTTATTCCTTACGTGCTCAGTATGAGGTGATTTGCTATGATTTGTTTTTCTGCCAGGTATTGGTCATCATTGACGTAAAACCAAAGGACTTGGGACTGCCCACAGAAGCATATATTTCGGTGGAAGAAGTTCATGATGTAAGTCATCTTGCTGTGAGCCTAGGAGATTAGATTTGCTACTTTTAGGGCCATTGGGTTTGTTTGGTTTTTTTTTCCCATTTTCAAGTCAACAAATACTTTATAACAAAGAAAAGGTTATTGGTTTCTGTCAATAGTTTGATATTATGTTTTTTCCCCCCAAATTTGAGTCACCAAATTTTAGAAATAGAGCAGACCATAGAAATCTAAAGTCCCCTTTTACAAATGAAATTGAGACCAAAGTAGTCAAATGATTGCCCAGAGATGTTCTCAGCAAAGTAAATGCAGAGCCTGGTGAGCTTGGTCTTAATCTAATGCAGTTTCCACTGTTGGCCCACCTATATAGTGACTATATTAACTATCTATTCTATAGCCAATCCCTATAGACTAGATCCTAGGTTTTCAAATAGAGTAAGTCAGAGCTGCCAGGAGCTAGATGGCAAAACCCATCTGTATGATTGGACACCTGTATAGTCAGCTCCATGGCGTTCAGTACCAGCTATGTGGTCTGTTAGCTTGTTTCTTGGGTATGAAGAGCTGCCAGAATAGCTTTTCTCTATTTCCAAGAAAATTGAACTCAAATTCTAGGGTAGGATTTGATGTGAAATTGTACATGAGTTTTGTTTTGAGCGTAAAATATTTGCACTTAGGGTGTGCAAAGAGCTCAGCCTTGAATTTCCAAAGTTGAACGGACACACTAAAGGCTGTCTTTCTTCCTTATGCTTATCCATATATTCACTTTTAAAATCTGGAAAAGGCTTTGTTAAGTTAGGTCCCTGCAGATGTTCCTTGCACTGAGCTCTATGCTCCTGTTTCTCTTTGCCTTGCTACCAGAGAGCTTAGATCCAAATTTATTGCCTAGTTGCAGTAAGACTTTCATCCCTGGTCTTGATACAGTTGTTATAAGTTAAATTTTACCCTGCCTCTTTCAAAAAGGAATTAGAGGCTGCTTATACATATGCATGCACATGCACACACGCACTCGCACACACACACCAATGAAGCAAGATCTTTTAAAAGAGGATGGAGGGGATGTAAGGGTCCTATAATGAGATGAAGCCAGGGGAAATCAGTACATGAAAAGACATGCCACGAAGTCCTGCACAAGTGTTGAAGGCTCTGACCATCCTAGCATACAAAGCCAAGAGGAAGATGACATTTGCAGGATTCACACTGTCCTGGGTAAAATAACAACAGCTAATGTTTATACCACTTAGTGTAAGTGAAGTGACTTTCCCAAGATCTCACTGCTCCCTTATCACACATGGCAGAGCCAGGCTTTGAACCTAAGCAGCCTGGCTAGAGTCTGTGCACTCACTGCTGTGCTGTTGTGCCTCGCACACATTTTACAGCCTTTACAGGAGATGTACAGCCTCTTCTGGCACTAGATCTGATAAAAGTTTCTCCTAAGTCCCATCAAGAAATCACTAAGTGATACAGCAAACCGCATCCACTAATGGGTTCCTTGAGTAATTCAGGTCACCAGAAAATCAGTTATTCTAACCACGTTGCTTTGGTGCTCTGACCATTTGACCCAAGGGACAACAGATGGTTAAAAATTGTATCTTCTGACATGAGCTTGCCTCAAGTACAGGTGTTCTGAATATTGCCTATTTTAGAATGAACGCTTATAAGTCCTTAAAATTTAGCCGAATCAAGACTTCCCTGATGTTCATCTCTACTGCAGGCTTGAGAGAATATCAAGATTTTCCTTAGAAATAAACTAATGATGATTCCCCACTACATCTCGTCCCTGAGCAGGACCACTGTGAATTCAGCTTAGAAGTCACAGTGCTTTGAAAGCTTTCAAAGCGAACTTTACCCACCCTTGCCGTGAAAAAGCCAGTAATGACACCCATGAAAGTGATTTGACTTAAAGCAGAAGAATCAAGGCATGAAAAGGAACATGTGCCAGTTTGTTCATTTGTTTGTAAGTAAATAACTGTAGTTAATTCTCCTCTCCCAGGATGGAACTCCAACCTCAAAAACATTTGAGCACGTGACCAGTGAAATTGGAGCAGAGGAAGCTGAGGAAGTCGGAGTTGAACACTTGTTACGGTGAGACTTTAGGACAGCATCATAATCACCAGCAGCCCAAGAAGCTGCTCAGTGTAAAGAAGAGATCTGTATCAGGAATAGGGAGACCTGGGTTCTAGTCCTGGGTCATCTCTAAAGTGTCCTGAGTTATGATTTATGAGTTTGTGGACAGCACACCTTGTCTGGAAGCTGTAATGCTGGCTGTGACGGGAACAGATGTGTGAATTATTCAAAAGCAAACGTGTGCTCTTTCAGTGTACCTCCTTTTCAATGACTGTAGCTAGCCAGTTTTCTGCAGAGAATCTGCATCTTGGACTGGGATGGATGGATGGATGGATTGATTTAAATTTATATTTTTATTTATTTTTGGCTGCATTGGGTCTTCATTGCTGCACGTGGGCTTTCTCTCGTTGTGGCGAGCAGGGACTACTCTTCGTTGCCGTGCGTTGGCTTCTCACTGCCGTGGCTTCTCTTGTTGCGAAGCGCAGGCTCTAGGCACGTGGGCTTCAGTAGTTGTGGCACACAGACTCAGTAGTTGTGGCTCGCCGGCTCTAGAATGCAGGCTCAGTAGTGGCACACGGGCTTAGTTGCTCTGCAACATGTGGGATCTTCCTGGGCCAGGGCTCGAACCCATATACCCTGCATTGGCAGGCGGATTCTTAACCACTGTGCCACCAGGGAAGCCCTGGGGTTTTATTTTTAAATCCTCTGCTTACATAACCCTGACTTACTTGAAATGATCATAGATTTTTTCAAACAATAAGATGCCTTCCAGTTCAGAAAGTTACTGCTGACTGATTTAAAAGCTTCTCCCAACATCATATAGATGCAGGTGGAGAAAATGCCACCCTTTTAAGGAACAGGGAACTTGAAGTAGAGGGGTTTTTTTTTGTTTTTTTAGTGAAAATGATTTCATTTTAGCTCTCTCTTTTCTTTTGAAAAATGCCCTGTGATGAGAAAGATAAAACATATTCCTCCAAATGAAAACAAGATTAAGGCAGTTTTACTCAAATCTTTATAAAATGGGGAAGTAACATTTTTCCTTTGGAAAACTTGCCCCTCCTCACAAACTTAGTATTTCCTTAGAATGTGAAAATCTGCGTGATAGTACAGGACACTGATGTATTTTCCTGCCCTTTCTTGTGGCTTCCTACAGAGACATCAAAGACACTACAGTGGGCACTCTTTCGCAGCGGATCACAAACCAGGTCCATGGTTTGAAGGGACTCAATTCCAAGCTTCTGGATATCAGGAGCTACCTGGAGAAAGTGGCCACAGGCAAGCTGCCCATCAACCATCAGATCATCTACCAGCTGCAGGACGTCTTCAACCTGCTGCCAGATGTCAGCCTGCAGGAGTTTGTCAAGGCCTTTTACCTGAAGACCAATGACCAGATGGTGGTGGTGTATTTGGCCTCGCTGATCCGTTCCGTGGTCGCCTTGCACAACCTCATCAACAACAAGATCGCCAACCGGGACGCAGAGAAGAAAGAAGGGCAGGAAAAAGAAGACAGCAAAAAGGATAGAAAAGATGACAAAGAGAAAGATAAGGAAAAGAGTGATGTAAAGAAAGAAGAGAAAAAGGATAAAAAATAAAACATGTAGCTTTTTAATTTGTAAATTAAAATCTTATAAACTAACTCATTGTGCCACCAGAGGGTTCTTTTCACTTTAAGTGCAAACGCTGTATTGATGAGAGCTCTCTGGATAGAGGGACTAATCTTGTACCTGAACTGCAGCTTAGGCTGCTCTAAGTTGGGAATGTGATAGCTCAGGCTTCAGACTGTGTGAGAGAAGAGAAGAGACATAAACGTAACATTTTTGGTACTCTTCCTGCTTTTATCTATAAGACCAGGAGTTGAATTTTCCCCATCTCAAGAGACTCTTGGGGTCTGTTTCTGGCAGTCTGCAAAATTGCAAAATGGAATGCACGAATTCCATAAGTGCTCTGCCTCAGAACACCTTGAGGTCTGCCCCTCTGGACTCTGTTGAGAATAGCACCCCACGGGACTTCTTGGACCCGTAGCTCTGGCATTCTCGGGGCTTGGGATCCATCTCAAGATATTGTTTACCTTCGAAGACACAATTAAATGGCTTGGTTTTTAAGTCTGTGTTCTGGTCGTTTTTGACTCTGGGTGTGGTGATACGTTGTTTTCAGAAGCAACCAAGACAAGTCTTTAATTGAAGCTGCCTTAAAGAATTATTTTAGACTGAATCTTTTATGAAAGCACCTCATTCCTTTAAAAACAGACAGCTGTAGGGAGGAGAGCTCTCAGCTGAGCCCAGAAGACCTGTGTCCCAGTTAATGCCTCAGATTCCTCATCTGTGGAGTCCCTAGAACAGTTTTTTATAAGAGACACATTCACTTACTATCGCAGTAGGTCTAAGTACATCAGGCCACAAGGTTAGTGGGGATGGAACAAAGTCACCCCAAAGTAAGTGTTCAAGATACTTAATCATTTGACTTACAGCTGTCACTTGGATATTAATTTCCTTTCTTGAGCGATTAGAACCTCCCTAAGAGTTCTCTAATGCACCATATGGACTGTCAATGTTCAGATATTTAAGAATATAATAGCACTAAAACTAAGTGGAATCTCATAAACCACTTCATAATGTTATAATGCCTCAAAGTTACTGGAAGCATCCATTTTTAATCCACAGACCTGCCTGCCAAAGAACTAGTTGAAATCTGGGGGCTGATGTAGAGCTGAGCTTTTATCCTACATAAATAGGAGCACCCACATCAGTGGTCTCTTCAAGGTTCATTAAGATTCTGAGAAAAAAAGAAACAGTAAAGGGAAGAAAACTAGAGAACCAAGTTTTGTCTACTGCAGCAGTCAAAAGTCAGATGGTTGTTACATCTAACTGAATAAAAGAAGTACGAGATACGTAGTTCAAAGCTTGAGATGCATGCGATGCATTTAAAATGACAGGAGTATGTTGAAGTTTTTCACATTTGGTTGCCATGTTTAGAACAGACTGAGAAAGGGAAATTCTCCACGGTGGGCAGGAAAGAGCCGGGATGCAATGATTCTGAGGCTAGGCAGGGGGAAGGAGGAGAATGTCATCCCAAAGAGTGGGATCGGGGGCAACTTGAGACCACACAGGATCATATCCACCTTTAGTAGTATGATCTTCACTTAAAAAGCTTTCTCAGGGTCTAACAGGACAATGCCACAGGCTTTTAAGTTTGTCACCGTTTGATAAATTGTAATGTTTATTGAGCATATGAGAACATGGGAATACCCAGACCTTGTATAGTTTGAGCCACATGTGGCAAAATTGACTTCTACCTTCCTAACAGGCTCTTCAGTTCCTACTTCTAACAAAATTCATTTGTAGCCTTTAGAGTCACGTAGGCTCATTTTCTAAGGCAAAATTGCTGCCATCCTATATAAGGGGGGCGAGCTTTGTAAGAATATTGATGAAGTCTTGCTTATACAAATAGCAGCTGACTTGACTGCAAAACCCATGGCCCTCACCTAAAATAAAGCCATGTGTTTGGATAGCTCAGCAGACTCAAGATGAGATTTCTAAACTACTTCTGTTGTTTTCGAACACATTGAAAAAGTATCCTAGAAAAAGTCTGATCCCAATTCTGGACCTCATATCCAGAGTTACGACATTCCCTTCCTTCCATTTTCAAAACATTCCACGATGACTTAGGGAGTTCAGGCTGCTCCTGCTACACATGTTACAGAGAGGAGGGCATTTATTCCTTACTAGTTTTCCGTCTGATAACTAACATCTGAAATATCCCTAAACTTAGAGGTCAGTTATCCTTAGTGAAAAGATGGATACTATCAGGGTGGAACAACAGCTTTGGGCCCACTAATTAGTTAAATGTTCTTTCATTTTACTCAGATCATCAATCACTAAAGGGACAAACGGAAGTAATCATCATTGAAGGACTACCATATTACTTCTCCAATGTGCCAGATGCAAAGTAAACCTTTCC